AACTTTTATTGTAGTATTCCAAACGTAAATTCAATATTAGTCTTCCAAGAGTTTTTTATAAGTAACTCTAGTATAACTTCTTAAATTATTTTTAGAAAACATTTATATTATAAATGATTATTCTATTGATTTTCCAAATGTAATGCTAATAAGAGATGCGGAATAAATATATATTACTTTTAAATCAAATTTTTAACGTTACATATAGATCTTAATATCATTGAAAAGAATATATTTTAAATAACAATATTATTTACTATAATAATAATAATATCGGTTATTCTTCATAATCATCATCAAGTTGTTCATAATACTCATATTCATTAACTTGATCCCATGCCCAAATTGGAAGGTCTTTTGGCTTTGCAGGAATTAATGATCGCATCTTAGCCCATCGTTGATCATCCATTTCAACAATCTCACATGGCATAGGAGAAGTGTATGAATGACAACCTCCAGAGTTTAATTTTCTAATCGAGTTCGTTTGATTATATCATCAGCAAGATTCCGAATACGATTTCCCTATTATCAAGTATTAGTATGTTTCTTATTTTTTTTTTTGAAAAGAAATCCGAATGATGAGAACAATACCTCATCACTTATCCAAGGAAGAACCGGCACTAATAATTTCTTTCTTAATGCTTCAGGTACATGGCCTTGTTCATCCAATGTTGATGCCTCTTCAATATCGGATACCTCTGGAGATGTTGCTTCAAAGGAAAATAATTTTTCAATTTCACCTTTAGGATAGTTTAACTGATCTTCGGGAATTTTGTTCAAAATAGCTAAACGACTAGATGATTTCTAAAAAAAGATAATTAGTAATAATAAAAATATTTGCTATCGTAATTTATATTGGGTAAATTACTGTATCATGTCGTTTATGACGTCGTGCACATTGATCATTCAAAAGCTTTGCAGCTGGAGTAGTATTTCGCTCTTTTTTTAAAGTTTTAAAATAGGCCTCAGCAATTTCAGTAATTGTAGCTTCATTCCACTTCTCATTTGTTTCTACAAGATAATTAGAAATTTAAAAAATAAATATAACTTTTTAAATACTGATAAAAAAAAATAAATATGTGTTTCTTCAAACTGGGTATCAAATTCTTTAATAAAAAGTCCAATATAATTTTGAGTAATTTTTTTGTTTTTTCGATTCTTAGAGCCAAGTTCAAAGTCATATACATATTTAGTATTAAGTGTTTGAGATTCGAATCTTCAAGATCTTCAAATCCATTAAAATAACGCATCTTGTCATGGATTTTTGCAGTAAGTATGGGATTTGCCGTTGTAATAGCATGTGGAGAATTATTAATTGTATTTAAAATATTAATGTTGTCGTTATGATTTTGAATGAGATAATATATTATTTACAGTAGTTTGAACTGCTGATGTTGATGTTGAAAAATTTTCTAACATAGTAGTAGTAGACATTAAAGTATCTTCGATATGTTGTATTTTAATTCCATGTTCATTACTAATACGTTGTATAGAGGTTATAAATTCACTCTGATTGTGTTTATAAATATCAAGCCGATGCTTCAAAGATTCAATAGATTTTTTTGTTGTTTCAAGTTGGTTTTTAATATTAGAAGAAGTTATAATAAACTTCATTTCGTTTACAGTTTGAGTTAAACCCGTAATACTTGCAGAAAGAGTATTTAAATTAGCTTTGTTTGTTATAGTAATATTAAATATTAAGTTAAAATGAAAATAAGAAAAAAAATAAAAAGTTAAAAATATATATTGCTTAAGATTGACGTAATTATCTAATATAAAGATTTAATCAGTATTGAATTTTATATACTTCAATTAAACTTTATGAGAATAAAAAATTAATACATATGTTATACTGAAAACTTTCGATTCAATAGTATAACAACAATAAATTTTTTTATTTCCAGATAATTTAAACCCATCACTTTTAACAAATCAACTAATAATTCTTTGAATTGGTATTATATTTTCAAATTCCTGCTTAATAAATTGATCTTTCTATAATTCAGCATGATAGCTTCCATCAGCATTTGTAGATAATATACCTTTTGATATACTATCACATGATTTAACATAAAAGTAACTTTGCTTTAGTAGATCTCTTTTGTACCAATCAACTATAGCTAGATAATAGCTAGTTACAATTGTTGAATTTGGTAAAAATATACGATGTTCAAAAAAAAACTTGATTTTTCCTGGCCAATTAATTCTATTACTATTATCTAGCTGCCATCGTACAAGTATATTTGAACTTAAATCTGAGCATGAGAAAAATGAACCATATATTTCATCTCTAAGCTTAAGAGCTGTTGCTCTACGGGCTGTTGAGGAAACAAGAATCGAATAATTTGATTTTGGTGTTTGATTTTCATTATGAAAGCTAAAATTAGTATAAATATTTGAATAATATTGAACAAGAAACTCAATTATTTTAGCTGATAAGGTAATTTCATGAAAAGGTCCAGTAAAATATCCAGGAAATTGTTCTGACCCGGTAACAATATGATTAATTAATCCACCAGACATTGCACGAAAATCTAGTGCTTCTTGAACTGTAAAATTATAATGCCCCAAAGTTCTAGTTTTTCAACTTTAGTTTGAGAAATTAGATTCAAAGATGATAAAAATTCTTGAGGTAAATAGTGATAAGCTTTTGCTTTTATTTGTTGAATATAAACTTGACGATTGAAATTTTCAAGCACTTCAAGCTCCATATTACAATTAGAGTTAGGAAATGAGCCAAGTTCTCTAAAAATAAGTAAAATTAATAAATACAATAATATAGTTTTTATAATTATTTTTAAAAAAATAAATTAACTTGCCCATTATAATGTTCATAAGCAAAACACCAGAATGAATACCATGGTCCATAATCATACATACATTTCCGTAAATATTTATGTAAATGCATATTAGAAGAACAAAAGTATTTGCCATAAATTCATTTAGCATATTGTAAGAATGCTATTATAGCTGCATGACCAGCTTCAATTTCAGCCTCATTTATAATTCTCTGACTCCATATTGATACTGCAATAACAAAAGCTTGCCAATATCATTGATCATCTTCATTAAGAAATTGACGCAAAATATAAGTTGAATAAACCAAAACCCAAATCTTCCATTGATTAGCCGTAAGTGCATCAAAGCCTGATGTAATTTTAAAGTTTATATGTCCCATATCAACAGGTAAAGGAGTTGTATCAATTTGTTTCTGAATTTCATACAAATCTTTAATACTAAGTTTTGGTGAATTATCATTCATCCATGCATACTGTACTATATGTTTACTTGTACCTAAAAATATATTGTGCATAGGATCAATTGTAGTAAATCAAGGAATATCTATATATTGCAATTCTAAAAGACAAGTCCATCGAATTCCATATTGTTGAAATAATTTTTTTTGTATTGTTAAATTACTATTTTTATATTGTAATGCTATTCGTCTATGCTCAGCATTAGTTAATGGTTGATCTTCTTGAATAAAATTTGAATAATCAAGTTTAGAACACTGGTCGAAATTTTTTAATATAATAGGCTGATACAAAGGTAATTTATATAAAAACAAACATTATAAAATCAGGTATAAGATAACTGAATGCTTAATAATATCAGTAAAATATCTTCCT